TGAAACATACAGTGGATGACGTCGAGCTGCATGGACTTTAGAAGGATTCATTGCATTTCCCTTTGAATTCTATATGCGCATGATCAGACAATTCGTGCACTGTGGATATGTTGTGGCTAAGCTGGCAGCTCAGCGTTATGTTGAGCACGTGCACTTAATGAAAAGTACAGGTGTCAAGCATGTACCATTTAAATCAAGGAATTTAGGGATATTCAGATGTTCGAAATTCAGTCACGAGATGTAAGGTTCATTAATGAAGTACTTATTTCTGTAGCGACCAACTGATGACATCGAGAGAGGTTGGTGACATAATGGATTAGGTCACGAAATCGTACATTCATAATTTGAAAGATCGTGTCTAAAGGCGTAGCCTGAAGAAAGGAATTTAGGTAATACTGTTAAACGCCCGCTTCGTTTTATAGGTTAACGTTAAGACAACATCTAGTAATCACAACATTGTTTTTATTTCTAGGCAAATGGAAAAGATAGCAGGGGATATAACAGTGGCAGTTATGTAAGCAAACTTTTCTAAATGTAAATGCTGAGAATGTGATGAGCACAATGTTTCATCAACTGATATTTTATTTTGCTTATTTACAGGGTGCTACCAGTGGACCTAACTTGACGGATTAGCAGTGACATTGTACTACAGTTTCCAAATATAATTTCCAAATTTAAGCTCAACAAAATTGCCACTATGTGCTAAATTAAGTCATTTTCTTCTGAAGTTAACCTAGTCCGTACTGAAAATGAGCTGAAAGGGCTTAAATAAAGCTGATAAGCAAAACCAGTAGGTTCTCATCTACTCCTGAAAATGTCTACAAAAAGAGCATGGTGTTGAATTAGTGTCAGTCATGCTGAAAACCAAAACTGAGTTCTAGACTGTGACATTAAAGTCTATTTAAGAAAAGATCTAGAATTTACTGACTGTAGAACGTTGGAATTAGTGAGATTTAATACAGCATTATGGTAAGCTTGGGGGGAGCAGAACCTGGACTAGAAGGGCTGCAATAAGGCTGATAAGCTACTTCTGATAATGCTTAGAATAAGAACAAGGTGCTGAATTGGTGCCAGTCATGATAATAAACCAGCGCACAGTTCCAGTTTAAGCAAATAATCCGTAACTGTTCTACCACTGTTTGATCCAACAATGGCAGAACAGTTAAGGTGTTTAATTACTGAGAAAAGTTACTATATTAGCATAGTATACGTGAATTGGCTCAATGATTGCAGATTTACCATAATCCTTAACTACTAACATAAAAACTGGGGACTGCAAGCTAAAAGTAAACGTCATAGTAGCATCCAGTGACAAAAAACTGACCTACATACTCCATAACAAGCAAAACGTTCAAAAAAACCTTCAAAATTCAATGGAAAATGAAATCACGAAAACATATAACCAGTAGACGCAGGAACCCATCATGACTTTGAAACTGACTATAGCGTCTTTCACCATACCGACCGAATGTAACGCAACACTCAGTTGTTACGCTCATTTTCAACAAATTCAAACAATAATGGTGCCTAAGATTATGCCATATAAACTGCTTTAACTTATGCAGCGTGTACTTACGGTCAATATTCAATTATCTTCCCTTGTATATATATCTTGTGTTAGTGAAAAATTCTAAACATGTTTACTCCATGTGTGCATTATTATCATATTGATGATGCCTGTCAACTGGAGTCCCTCATGTGCATAAAGTGAGAATATGTGGTGAGAGCTGGCTGCTAGCCAAAGTTGGTAGACAGTAATTGACGTCAATGTTTATGTCCCCAATATTGGTGGTGAGAAAATGACAACAAAGGCTTTGCGTAGGCGGATACAGTTAGCATATGGATGATCTGACACAGCCACAAAGAGATGCAAGATGGTTGACTTCCTGTGAGAAACAATCATTCAGAAGACTGTATTTTCTACTAACAATAATCTACAATAATGTACATTAAAATCTGTTGCCTGGCCCTTGTCTTCTGTTGTTACAAATATATTATTATAAGACGCATTTTATTGTTTTATGAGGGACTTGACTTCAAGCTTTATTTATTTTCCCAAGTATCTGTAATCCATCCAACTCATACTTGGGTTTTTTGTTAATGCGAAGTCAATATCTCCATATTTCTTGATGTGGTCCATTGAATCACTAGTTATCAGATTTTTCCCACAAACTAAAGATAAAATGACAGCAACCATGTTATCTAGCCGTAAATCATGTAATTTAAATATGTAACTTAAATGATACTTATCCATGCCCATATAACTTGTGTGTCCTACATTTGTAGGAATAAATATGTACCTTATTATATTATCATTACTAACTATACTTACTAATCGTATGTGTAATTTATCGAATTGATGATGCCTGTAAACTGACATCTCCCATGTACAAAAATGATAATATATTATTATTATTATTATTATAACGCAGCAATATCGCTCTTGTCTGCGATGTGATTCGATAAATACAAGCAAATCGGCTGTTGGAGGCGAGATGGCTGAGGTTCCGTCGAATTGATGGGCTTCTTCAATCACCTACAAGCCCATTATTTATTTTGTTTCACCTCCGTAGTAATGGGGTTATCTCCACTACCCCTCGCTTTACTGGTATGCGTTATTAGTCCCCCCCACCAGATAGCCAGCTACCTAGCTGTTAGATACTGCATTGTGAGATCTCTCTTTAGTCTGTTTGCTTCAGTTTACAGCGTTTCGTACATTTACCCTACGTCGTTTCCGGCACGCTTCTTCACTTCACTGCGCGCAGCTCCTCCTCTCGTTTTTCGGTTTTGCTTTGTTCTTTCCTAATTCATCCTTCTTTCCCTCACCAACCTCTAGGTTTTCGTAGTCAGCCACACCTTGTTTCTCCCCATCCTTTCCAAGATAGTTATGTAGGTTACTTTCACACTCCCAGCTCAGAGGATTCTACGGTTCTGATACACAGGTCCCCTCAATGGCGCTGCCTGCTATTTCCGGTCTTTTCTTAATGACTTCAGTGACTGCGTCTCTCGTGGTTCCGTCCTTTAATTCCCCAGGGGCGATATCGAATTGTGGTCTGTATCTAGCTTCTTTGAAAGCTTTCAACTTGCCTTTAAAAGTCTCTTGCACTAGGTAACAGTGTGAGCCCATACCTGCTCCCTTTCTTGATATTATGCCCAGTAAGCTGTGTCTCACCAGTGTTCACAGCAACATGAAGTTTTACTGATTTTTTGAGTATCCGTCTAGTGAGATCCGTGCCTCTGTGTTTTTATTATTGGATTGTAGACTCTGCCTTCAAGCATCAAATCACTGAGAGCACAAAAGTTCGAAAATAATTCCCTGTTCTAATTCGTTTCGCTGTGTACCCTTAAGCCCGTCGGGTTTTTCTTTTATAGTCTTCTTGCAGTTTGTTTGGTATTCATGTCACCGATAAAATATTTGATGTTATTATTAGGTTATGATGACAACCGTACGCAGAATTCCTCGTTCTTTTCAACCGGACTTACTTTATCTGTAGGGGCATGGGCAGGTAAAATAGGAACTCCTCTACTTTTTAGCCAAGTCGTTCTGCCATATGTTGGAAGAGATTTGTTCTGACTATATGAGGGCTTTCAACGCTGTCAGCGACATGATCGCATCCGCTCCTTCAGTGTGTTCACTGGTTTTGGCCGCCGGCCAGGATCTCATTTCATCAATACACAGCCAACTTACTGAGCAGACTCATATATAGCATTTTGCTCCTCCCCGCCTCAATTTTTCTCTCCCCATCCCTTAGATTGCGATTGATTGCGATTTTTTAGGCTATATGTAAAACTTTGAAAACTGTTGAAGAAGTTATCGAAAGGGATGCTCTTTGTCCAGCAATCGATCTTTTGAATTCTGTGGGTCCGTCCGCCTGCTAGCTTGAGATAAGAATGATACTCATGATTTCCATGCAGTAATCTATCTTGACAGACCTAAATCTTGGCCATATAGACGGCCGATTCCTGTACTGGTTCACTTGAAGAATGCCACACTAACTGCCAGGATCATTTGGATTTGCAGATTTCATAGACAGGCAGGATCTGTTAGGGTTGTTTCGTTTCATTGAAGTACAACAAAGAGCCTGGATCTTGTGCTAGTAGAACCGAAAGCGATGCAAGCTGCTACTTTGCAGAAAGCCAAAACACCACATTATTATTAATCCCTTGGGTTCCTAGTGGGATATAGGGCTTCAGCTGCACGTCTCCACTTGCTTCTGTCTTCTGCCGTACTTTTCACCTGCATCCATGTTATTCCATACTGTTTCAACTCTTCTTCACACGATCTCATCCATGTCACCCTTAGACGTCCCACTCGTCGCTTCCCTTTCGGGTTCCACTCGAGCAATGGCCTGACGCGCGATGTCACCCATCGGCCTCCTCAGCGAGTGTCCAATACATCTCCACATTACTTAGGGATATTTCATCAAAAGCAATATATATAGGCAGACTAGGGTTTATGGTTGAGAAAACATGTAAACATGTGTGACTCGTAATAACTATGCTAGGGACTGCGAGAATGTGCATGTTAATGAGTGCTTGGGGAGCTTAGAATGGTGCAGATGCAACTCCGCGAAAACAAGACTTAAAACGACGTAATTGATAGGGGATTAGCCAACAGCTTCTAATTTAGCCTGAAGGATATCAGCTTAGGAGCACCACTCATGCTAAGACTAATTATAAAACATTTGAGAATTATTTACGTCTGGTGATACCCGGTTATATAAGTGAGATCTATCTGATAAATAAGGATGTATTACTTACCAAAAAGTATTTCTAATTCGTGCAGAAATTCATCCAAGCAAATTTTCTGTGGTCAGTAATCAAACTCATGCTGAACACTCGAGATTAACATATCACCCTTTAAACCTAGAATTATTTGCCCAACTCCTAATTTCTAATCACTCTATAATGTATACCACTGACTCACAAATTTATGGGTACCTGGAAAACATAGTGTTTTTCAAAGAAAAGTTATTGTTTTTGTTCACCATACTCGATAACAAGACTTATCAACTCTTAGGGCGGTACTTTAGGATTTTCATGTTTATGACTCGTTTCTGTTGGTTCGTGAGTTTGGTAATATTTTCTCTTGTGAGATGTCAGCCATCCGTCAACGAAAAAGGTAAATTTCACCTAAAGGGTGAGAATAATACTGATGCCCTTTTAGTACAACAGGCAGGAGAAGGCATACATTCAACTATTCCTAATTCTGATTCTCATCCTCCTAATCTGCCTCATGAAAATCTGGATGTGAGGTTTCCTGGTGATGGAAACACCAACCAAATAAACTCGCAACACAGTGATGGCATCCCAAGTCGGTCTACAGATCCACTTTCCCAGCAGTACTTATCAGCAGATGGAGGGACAAAGCAATATGTGAATGGAGTGCCCAACCAAATGAACACTGGTCCTACTCTGCAGAAAAATAACCAACCCGCTCACGGTGTGCCTAATCCTTCTAACCAGAAAATCCCTCAAGACACTGAGAGAATGAAGACTGACAGTGCACAAAGTGGATCATTTACTCATGAAATACCTTCTGGAGGTAACATTCCTGGTAGACAGGTTCCTCAACACTTTCCCAATGGAGGTGGTCAACAGCCCCCTCCGAATGCACAGTTCACACCACCAAGGCCTAACGTCTATCCTGACATGGTTCCTAATCAGCGTCCAGACCCACGAGTCCACAATACTCAGCCTCCTCCAAACTACTATGAACAGTCTAATTTCAAGGGATTCGAACGTAACCATGAACAATTTGATAGTCGTAATTACCATGATGGCCGAGATGGGATGCTTAGGAATCCAAATGACAATATGGCCAGTAGATCTGCTTGGCAACATGCTGACCACCAACAGAACTACCATGACAATTTTAGGAAGCCACAAGCAAATATCCCACATGAATATCAGCTGGATGATATTTTTACCTTACCTTCACGTGAGGATCCTTTGAATAATCGTGCTGACTTTGTTTCTCTGGTCGTTATTGTGCCTCCTGGAGTGAAGCATTGCTACTTTTACAATCCTATTTCTAACTTCGACATTGATTATCAGGTAACTACCTAGTTCGCTTCATTAGTTTCGCTAAAGGTTGTTAAAGGTGGTCATTTAGATGTTGGTATATTTGTTCGGGACCCAGAAGGAGAACCAATCGCAGTGCGCCCTCCACTGTCGGATTCACAAGTCTCGTAAGTTTACTCTTTTGTACTTTGTTTTTAAAAGTTTCCTACCTATTTCTGTTAATACTTTTAAGACATTAATAAGTTTCGGGAAATTCTTGTTAGTTTACGCAAATAACAGACCAATTTAAATGATACGAATCAACATGTGGATTTCCGAGCCACATGTTTTCACTGTGACTACTTTAATACATACAAGTAACTGGAATTAAATTTTCACCAATTAATGTGTAGCTAAAGCAGATGAATGTTATTAGCTAGTACTATTTTACTGTTTAATATTATTCTTTTATCCGTTCATTAATGTTTTTCGTATCACTTTTACTTCATGTCACACTTCTGTGCGACATTTCACGTCCACCATCTTATTGTATGACTCATTTTTCATATTGCGTTCATTCCTATAAGTTAATTAGCAGACAGTCTTGGTTTGCAATCTGAAAATTTCCATTCGTATAAATCCTTTTATTACAGAGTCAACTGGTTTCGTACAGATAGCACAATGTGAAAATATTCACGGATGTATCTGTAGTATGCAAAGCAACCTTAGAGAAAAGATGACAGTTCTAGAACCTTCAGGCATCTTTATGTATTACATCGTATCCAGTGGAGCTGTGTGTTGCAAAATTTTCAACAAGACTTTTTATAAGCAGAATGTATAAATTATAGTATCCTCTCACTCTTAAATCCTTGAATTGTTGGATGATATTAAGTTAATAGTCAGCGTTTAGTTTCAATGCCTGGTGTGGAAATATTGTCGATTGACTCAGGCACTACTTTCGACACCTACTTCAAACCGGGAAACTGCTCAGTACCACACTGTGAATGCGGCTGATAGCCTGGCACATACTATATATGCTCCAACCAGCTGAGTTCTAACTAACTATCAGTGCATGTTGACTGGTAAACATTGAGTTAAGGCTAATTGACATCCATTAGTCTCTTGCAAATCTGCGATACCTGGAGTTGTATCATTTTTCTCAGTACTACATGGTGTTCAGATCTTAATCATACTGTCTGTGTAATCAATAGTGTTCTCTGAGCTGGTTGGTTTAGTTCCAGAGCTTTCGTCGTCCTTCACTTTATGCTAAATATTGCACTGAAGGTGTTGTCCAGAAGGACGACGAAAGTTCCGCAACTAAACCAACCAGCTCAGAGAACACTATTGATTGCAAATCATCCACCTGAGCTACAAATCTTCTCTATTATACTGTCTGTCTCGCAGTAATATACATTACTGGATATTTCCTTCGGTTATGTAAAACGGGATATGTTTGTTGGTGAAGTTTTCAACTGAAATTGGGAGTCGTCTCTCGTTTTTAAGCATAAGGGAGAAATTGTTCAAACGGAGTAAACAATGAAGTCATTTATTTGAGAATAATGTTATCTGCATAGATGAAGACTCCATTTTATTGCTCTTTCAACTTTATTTCTGCAGATTATAACTTCATTGTATTACCCTTTATTTTCCTTCCCTTTCAAAGAATACTAACTGAAAGTAAGTCTTTTTTACATGAATTTGTACACCTGTCTATTAGTAATTAACAAGTTCGATCCTTCTTCGTTTCTTTGTTAGTGGTTACTGCGTAATATAACTGCCAGTTGACCATGAAATTTGGCTTATTAGCCGAGTTATTCGACTTTCAAGCAGTAGGTTGTGTTTCGACTTGTTGTTGAGTTGTTGCGGTGAGGTGATTATTATTCAAGAAAACAGATTACTTTTTCTAAACCCATAAAAAGTTGTTAACAGTGACAATAAAGGGTCGTCGTTTACATGAAGCGAAATGCTAAATAAGTAGAATTTTCAAAAATTCTTACACCGTTAGTAGTAAGTTATCGTGTTAGTGTAGGCCATGAAATTAACAGGTTTCTATACAAACGTAGTTTCTTAAACAGCGTCAGGTTTCATGGAAAATGAATCAGTTACGGTTGTTTGATTAGGATGTGCTTAATATCCATGACACGTCATTGTGCTAATTTTTTTCTTCTTTGGCTTTGTTTGATGTAATTTATTTCAACATTTAGAATTTGTGCTGTTGTAACGTTCAAACTAAGTTACATTGTCGTGAGGTCCTTTTTCAGTTTGATATGAAGATATTAAGGGTAAAAAGTGAATGCGGTTTCAAACTCCATTATGGATAAGATTTTATTATGTTAAATCACTCAGTGTTATACAGTCATATTAAATGATGACGTTTTGAGCACAAAATATTGCTCATAATCATATCAAGTCACTCACACAACTTGTTTCCTTCATTTATATACATGTGTGGAATTGACTAGATATTTGAATAAAAATCAATATAAGATAATGTACATTCAGAATTATTAATATGAGTGTTACTGATCAATTACAATCAGATGGGAAATAAGACGAGTGTTTTTTATAGTCATAATAAGTAACTTGTTAGAATGTTGTGATGTGCTTGAATTGAAATAGAATTTTGAGATTATTTATTATCCTCCTCTGATTTGACTGGCGATAATAATATCTTCCATATTTTTGATATTTGCATTGAGTCATTTCTGTGGCATGTGTGGGGTGTAGACTCGATGAACTAGGTAGGATTCAGTAATCAACCTCTCTCTCCACCTACCTATATTACTTCTTAGAATGTTAACCCTCTCCCACCCTATTGTGTGGTTTTGTGTTAGTGCATGCAGTGCGATTGCTGAGCTTTCTTCTAAATTACTCATCTCGGGGTCAACCATTCTTACCTTAGCTAAATTCTTATGTTGCGACAATCTGACTACTCCCGATCTAATAGTTTGACCTATATAGTTGACCTCACAGTCATTGCAAGGTATTTTGTAAATTATATTATTTTGTTTAATTGGGTCCACCGGGTCTTTTAGCCTACAGAGCTTGTCTCCGAGTGAGTTTGTAGGTTTGAATGCCACCCTAATTCCTGCTTTATTAAGAATCTTACGTAGGGCCTTAGATGTCCCCTCCTTATATGGTATAACAGTAGGTGACTTATATTCTCTCTTATTTATGTTATCATTGCTAGTTTCACAATTATTTTTAATTTGATTTTGGCTTTTTCGATCTTCCTAATGAATTTTAGAGGATAGTTATTTAACACCAACGCTTATTCTATCTGTTTTATTTCGTCATTTAGGTCCTTTTTTGTGCTACTTAGTGCTATGGCTCGGTTTGTTAGACACTTAACTAAGCCTGCCTTAACAGTTAACAGTTTCAAACGTTTTGAGGCAAGTGACATACTCAGAGTTGTATTGTTTACAATCTTAGCGACTTTTTTAACATATTGTACAATTCACACGCTTTGCACTCTGATTCATCTCTTTAGATCTTCGACGATCACTAGCACACTCACGTATGACAACTGTTAAGGTCAATAAAATAAATTAAGCACATTCTCGAATGTTTTTACTCTCAACGGATACCTGAGAACTAATAAAGAAGAGAGGATGATGGTGAAAGAGAAGATGACTCAATGCAAAGATAGACAACAGAAGGAGAAGCTGAGTTCAATGTACACTGTACTCAATAAAGAAGTGAAGAAGAGTGCTAGGAAAGACAAAAGGCAATTCTACGACACACTGGCAACTAAAGTAGAACAGGTCGCAGGTAAAAGAGACATCAGGACACTATATCACATAACCAAGTCTCTATCCGGGAAGAGATCAACCCAGAGGATGAAACCAATAAAATATGCTCAAAGGAACCTGACTACCAAGGAGGGGAAACAAATGAAACAATGGGCTGATCACTTCAAAGGACTTTTGAATCGCTCATCACCTGCAACTCGCCCAGAAATATCACCACTACCAATAACCATGTCAAACGAAAACATGGCACCAGTCAATGAAATCCACAACAGTTAGTCTAAGCCACGTAGGAAGATGTAGACTTCCTGTTTGGGGTCCTCGGGACGGTAAAAACCAATGGTTGGAAATAATTGGTGACATGGCTCAAAATCGTTCTCAGTGGCGCAGATGCATCCACTCCTTGTGACTTATGATTTCCAATTAAACTGTTTTGTTCTCCGTTATTACTATTCCTTTGTCTCACACCTCTGTTTACTGTCTATATTATGCATTTCTTCTACTTTCTTCTCTTGCTTTGTGTGCTACATGGAGTGTGGCGACTTGAACTGCCGCACATCGGTGCAAAGTTTTATGTCGAAAACCGACCGACCGACTGCCTGCCACTGAACACCAATCCTGCAACGAAAGCAGAAATCTTGAATGTAATCAAGCTACGGGAAGGCAGCAAGGTCAGACGGGATTTCCCCCGAAGCACTGAAGACGGACCCAAAGATTACGGTAGATGTGCCCACGCCATTCATGCAAAAGGTTTGGAAGGAATGAAAGGTGCCTACCGATTGGAAGAAAGGCTACCTTGCGAAGCTACCTAAGAAGGGCGACTTACTCCCGCCTCTGCAAGAACTGGCTTGGAATAATGCTCTTGTCCACTCCAAGTAGAACACTAAGTCGCATAATCCTGGAGAGGATAAAAGATATACTGGATGCAGAACTCCGCCCCTCACCGGAACAAGCTGGATTCGGTAGATCATGTGCTGATCAAATTGCAACTCTACGCATCATCATTACAGAACAAAGCATAGGACGGTAGTCAAACCCCTTCCTACCTCAAATTCATCGACTTCGAAAAGGTGACGAGTGGGTCGTCGGTGCGAGGGTGACATGGAGGAGATGAGAGATTACGGGCAATCGTGGAGAAACCCGGCTGAAGAGGACTACAGAAAATAGAACAAAATGGAGATGTGTTGTTGAATCCCTATTTTCCACTCAGAACCCAAGGGAATAATAATAATATAATAATAGTAATAATAATAATCTAATGTGACTAAGATTAGTATGATAACCATGCCCCGTTTTTCTTTTTTTTTTCTAGAATATCTGTTCCGAAGTATTTCCGTTTAATGCCCTATGCCGTTTGTCTGGACAACAGAAAGGCTAGTTATGCCTATAAATATGTTTACTTCTCTATTGATGTGAATATAAACTGGGATAATCCCAGTGAGTTGGAAAGACAGGCGATAGAAGCATTACGAAGTAATGCCCTCGCTAATTCACAGGCTCAAGCAGCAAGTGCTGAACATGCAGAAAGTATCGAAAAACTTATGGTTAGTTATATTTCTTAACTGTTTTTTTATGTGTTTTGTAGGTAGGTTAATGTTTGTTGTGTCCTTTGGGGTATGGTGATCGATAAAGTAATAATTCCCGCCGCGGAATTGCTATCTTCACACAAAATTTTGGTGTTTTTCATGTTAACCCGTTTGGATTTTATCGTTTACGTCATTATGCGATTTTGTATCATATAACGACAGTAGACTAGATATCTTGTAAGACTTAATTATCCTTGAAATATTTTCGTAGTGAAACGTATGTTTCCATTTTTGGCCTGAGAATTAGAAGCCTTTACATGGTGGTGATTCCTGGCTAGTCGCCATTTTCTCTATACACGTCATATCCAAACTTTTCAGTTAAACTATATAGACTGACTAACTTTTGACACAGAACTTAGCATAGAAAGACAGTAGTTCAAGTTATAACACTCTATGTAGCACACAAGGGTAAACGAACGAGAGGAAAACGATTCAAAAGAAATGCGAGAGAAAGAATTTTAACATGGGAAAAAAGAAAGGTTTATTCGATCTGGGAGGTGATAAAGAGTGAATGCATCCTCTCCGATGAAAACGATTTTGAAACATATCTCCAAGTGTCCAGCCATTGAATTCCAGCATTCCGACAACCCTAATCAGACAGTCTGCATCTCCCTACGTGTCAACTATCAGAGACTTTATGAACTGATGCAAGATTCTGGTTCGACCACTCCTAATTCTTTTACATTTTGGTTCTATATGAGCGCTAACATTACTCGTCGAGGAAGACGATTTGCTCGAGATGCGTAACATGTGTCCTGGTCATCTCAGTCGACTTAGCTTCACATCCCATTAGTTGACTTATCCTCAGTATTGCTCACCGTATCGTACCACTTAACGCGGCAGATAGAAGGCAGACACATATGGTCAAAGACGGCTAGTGTTTTCGTGTCTTCCACTTTCAGTGGCCATGTTTCACAGCCATGAATGGGGACAAAGCAAACCGCTATACAGGACACATGTCCTTTGATGGATAACCGATCATCATGTTAACTCCAGAAATGACGTAGGGTGGCAAATACCACAGGAACCTTTTGTATCCGTACCGAGATTTCATCAGCACTCTTACCATTGGGGTTGATGCTATATAGTTAAACTGTATTGAGTAGTTGACGTGTGTGTTTTAGTGATCTAACTGGGATTCTTGCTGTTTCATTTGGTACGTTAAAAAGTTCTGATTTAATTCAAGATAGATAGATTGTGAAAAAAACCCAATCAACTTAATATCACAAGCTCATTTATTTTAGTTATACCACTCACCTGTTGTAATGCCTAAGATAAATTAAGCGTATACAGAATCTAAGAATACAATAGACAGAAATAAGTAAACAACCATAAGGGCATCTAGAGGATGTAAAGGTATTCATGTATTTTGTAAGTGATCTGTGTAGTGAAGTGTCAGTAACTGTTCACTTGTAAAAAAACAATAAGGGCATCTTTTCAATTAATTGTGTTCTCTGAGCTGGTTGGTTTAATTGTGAAGCTTTCGTCGTCCTTCGGGACAACATCTTCAGCGAAATTAATTGCAAATCATCCACCTGAGCTACAAATCTTCTCTATTATTTTGAAGGTATCTTTTAAGTTTATAGCTACCAGTGCGTGTTTAGACATGTTGGGGATAGTGGAGAAGTAACCAATGATATACAGCAGAAGTGTCCATGTATATTTTAGGCGCTTCTTAAAAGTTAGGCTGATGTGAACTTTGTCTGTTGGGATAAGCATTGTAATGAAATTTTTCACTAAAATTTTTTCACCATGTTTTGTGTTGCCAATTAATATTTATATATAAATATTTTCACATCTGTATGAAGATTTATCTCGTATTGAAAGCTCTAACATGAAGTTGTCAGCATAAATTTAAGAGACTATCAGTAGTGCTTTTCATCTCGTGTCGTTGTTAGTCGTTGCATAGTTCAGAGACCTGCTTATCGGATAGAATTATCAGTAGGGAGGAAAGCAAGATGATGAAATTGATGAGGATGAAAGTGGGAGATGGTCAGGAATACACTTTATGTGCTTGTGGAAGCGTGTGAGCGGTTACTATTTTCCAGCTGTACACACTATGAACTTTAGTTTCTTCTTGGGTTGTCTGGAACAGAAAGAGCATTAGTGTTGCATGGGACAACTACTTGTGGCCGGCCACACGCGTAGTCTGTTTGAAGTGGATTTTAGAAATGCGTCTGTATTAAGATCTTACTGCCGCGGAGAGGAGAGAACATATCTGACTTACTGGTCATCTGAGGGAAACACCTTATTGTTGTTTCATTGGCACTCGCCAGCGGTGCGAATTCACCCTCAAGCCCAAACAGCAGTGGTGATTGACAGACTAGGCAGGCAGTGTGACTCAGAATTAATCGTTATTATACGAATGTATTCACAACTGTTACTTGAACTGTTATACTATGTCGGATATCTCTGTTTCCTTTACTTCTTTCCTATTGACCCCACAGTTGTAAAAGCTTCTCACATTATTATTATTATTATTATTATTATTATTATTATTATTATTATTATTATTATTATTATTATTACACGACACCATATAGTACTAATTAGTGGAGACGGTTAGTTGTATACCACTGACATCAACCAGTAGTATTTACTACCTAGACCAGAGTGATCTAAACACCAAACGACCGTTTCACTCATTTAGGGCTGCATCCATCAACTGTGTGCTGGGTTCGACTTCCGTCAGAGAGCCGAATCAGTCCAAACTACCCGGATTCCGGCTAGCTACTTAGGCGAACCTCATTCAATCAGTAATATGTGGTTTCATTCATTTATACTTGCATTCTTGATTACCATTTATGGTACCAATCAGATCACATCAGTTGTGATCTGAATAATTCCGGTTTCCAAAGGGGAACTGTTGTGAACTTTCATCTCTTCGAACTGTCTTCCTTAGGTATTTTGATGATGTAAAGTGTACCAGTCTGCATTGTAATGCATTTATGCTGGTAATATTTCAAATTTCTGTGTAGAGAATAACGTCGATTTAGGTGTCCTCTATATTTACTGTGATAATAAAGTGGGTGATTGTTGGTAAAGGTCATTCATACCCTGCAGGGTATCTTTTTTTGTCCAAATGTTGGTTTGCAGGGATTTGATTTGACTGGTTATAGGGTTTCGCCATGATTTGACATCGGTTAAATAACCATTGAAAAACCATCTGAGAGTACTGGGCAGTTCTTTCGTCCTAGTCTGGGACTCCGACAGTACTCACCCACTGGGGCGGGAACCCATTACGTTCCGGTTACAAGGCAAGCTCGTAGACCATTCGGCCACTGGGATCCGATCCAGCCGCCCATGAATTTCAACTAACCAAACTTCATCTCTGGCGAGTATTTATCCTTACACCTGACCTGCTGTACCTCACTCACTGGTCATGACTTCCCAGTATAGAACCCAGGTAACTTTAATGATGAGTAAATAAGATAATTCCTTTTACTACAAATTTTTTTTTACTACAAATATTATTTATTTATTTTTTCTATCAATGTAACCTTTTTCTTAATTTTAAGGCACAATTGGATATCATATTTGGTCGTTTACGACGTATTGAACATATGCAACAACGTTCGATCAACTTTGATTCAACAGATAGTACATTAATGGAAGACAATTTAGAGCGTATAACAACTGGATCGGTATTTCAAGTTATTCTTATGATTGCTGTAGCAACTCTCCAAGTTGGACTTATTCGTGCTTTATTTGATCAACAGAGTTATTTTTACAAATTATGGTTTGGTATTAGATCACAAAGTATAAATGCTCGTTGTTAAACTGCTTTAGTATTTATTTATTATCTATAAATGATTCTAGTCTTTAATAATACATATATATACCTATATATCTTGTATCTTTATTATATTTAACCCCTCCGGTATACCTTTTTTCCATCGACAACGAATTTTGATGATGCATTTCGACTCCCTTTTTTGTTTTTTTGTACATTCATGAATACGTTACATTTGGAAGTGTTTCGCGTTTTTGTTGTCATCTTCAGTTAGCCGCTGTTGTATACAATCTGTACTGTCCAGTGTGGTTTTGCGTTTATTATATTTTTCGACTGACAACTACTCATTATATTGTTTATTCTTTTTTTTCTTTTCGTTTATTTTTTCTTTTGTATGAAGGAACAGCTGCTTTATATAATAAAAGATATTGTGTTCAATTATCTCTTTTTATTTTGGTAGTTAACTTGTTCTATTTCAAGTTAACATTTATCTCCCTTTGGTATGTGCATGCGTGTGTGTGTGTGTAATGTTTGAACTCAATTCCACTGAAAAGGCTATGAGCCGGCACATTTATCGTGTGAATATGAGTTGTGACAGTACTACCTACCGAGACGCACAGGATAAAGTAGGTGACGGGGAGAGATTTGATGAACCTAGGACCCCCCCCTACCCGTTGACTGTAAGTTGGGTGCCTAAGCCACGTCTGCACGCACGTTTACGTGGCATTATGTTTGATAGCTCTTTGCAAGATTTACACATAAGCCTCACCTATTACTTCGACCTCTTCATTCCTTTGCATTGTAAATAGAAGATAGAACTTCGAGCTTGAGCGCTGAGTTTTCAGTAGCCGGTGGTGGGGATGATAGTCTCTCACTCAGACTTACCGCTTCTTCCGGCTTACTATCGGGGCTAGTAAACTAACTAGGTGACTAGGTTTGTATGAGTGCATTCATCGGTCGTGGGAATCGATCTCGCACCATGTGTGTAGCGTGGTTGACGAGTATTCTACCTGTTGAGCCACCTATTTATTTTATTACTTTACACCTACACATTATTGGTAGTAGTTTGTTATTCTTCCTTTCTGTGATGTAATAATTACACTTTTTGGCATATAAGCTCATTGTGTAGACAGACGCCTTGGTTTTAGCTATACTGAAATGTTAGTTATGCAGCTATGGCGGATGTTAATAGGGGTTAGCACAGTGGAATTTCAGGACTTGTATTTCTTATTCGGGTGTTTGTAAAACTCTTCTGGTTACAGGTCCCAATTTTCAGTTAGTTGAGATGTGTTTCCAGCTGACACGTCTCTAATCGTCTAGATATCAGTGCTTTTGAGCGTATTCAAACTGAATTAGTATACTTTGAAAGGACAATCAACTAATTCACTGATTGGTTGGTATTTGTCGGTCTCTTTTTCTTTTGCCTCAGGATTTCATCCTGGTGTCTTCTTTTATTCAACCTAGCTCTTCATTACTCATAGAAGCAAGGGATAGGCTTATTATTTATTACAAAACCTGAGTGGATGGTTGCTCAGTGCCTCTATAAGCCAGTAATAAGTATGCCATTCTAAATGAATGTAGCTCATTGCAGTTTCACCTAGTGGTCAGTAGTTCTCGAGTTGAGACTCCCAGCCCCCCCCTCGCCTTTTCGTTCTGGACAAAAGGTGTTGGCACCATAACACCACCCCACACACACATACACCTACGCACGTACAGTACTGCTCGTAGTCTAGTTGTATCGTTGTCCATATTTTGTTTGAATAAATTTAGCTTATAATAATAATAATAATTATTATTATAAAAGCTGTGAACTCAACCATTTTAGTTAAATATTTTATAAGATATATCAATCTGCCTTTCCATATCAAAATAAACTTTATCTATATTTTTGTAGAGATGACTCAGTCAACGAAAGTTGATGGTAGTAGTGGTGGTGGTGATGATGACAATGGATTGTGGCAAATAGCTTCAGAAGCAGGCGAAAAATTCAGTGCACTCTATTATCGTGCTTTTGATAAGTCGAATAGACCTGATTTACCTGGATTTTTTATGCAAAATGTTATTGTCCTATGGAATGGTAATCGTGTTGAAGGTCAAGAAGCTGCTGTCGAATTTTTCTCCAAACTACCAGATAGTACGTCTACTTTACACTCATTATCTTGTCAACCAGTACACAGTGAGTTTATGACTTTTTGTACCTGTTATGTTTTTCTCTGTGTTACCTTTAGATAAATAATTGGCGCTTTATTATTTTTATTATTATTATTCTCTTGGATTCCGAGTGAAACATACTGCTTGAGCAACGCGCGCTGTGCGTCGGTGGCACAGCGGTTAGGACGCTCGCCGACCATTCGCATGGTCCGGGGTTCAAATCCCGACCGACGCACCCCTTTACCTCGCTAAGCCAGAAATAAAAAAGCTGGTAAAGAGGAAAGGTTGGGCATGAGGCTAGCAACCCCATCCTGTAAAAATAAACACTGCTACAGAAACTTCAAGCCTCTAGCTTGAAGCCCTATGTTCCACTGGGGAACGTGAAGGAAAGAAAAAAAACGCGCATCCATTTCACCTTGTTGTCTGCAATCTTTTTAGAGAGGATTATGAATATAAGAAATACAATAACAATAAAGTTTGATGTTGTAAGGGTGTAGGAAATGGTTTATTTAGTAGTGCAAAGAAGGTTAGTTAGTTCATGCTTAACACTATTTTCATCACGTAAAGTACGTGCCAAATATGGTATGGTGGAATTTTTCTACTTAGACGTACGTGCATAAAGTCTTCTGAAAAGACTTCTTGTTTTACCTGAGGAGACATAATGTTGGAGCTGCGGGTAGAGTGGGTGCTCAGAGTCTGACAAAAATTCCCTTAGCGAATTTGTTGCATGACATCAAGTGCCTATCAATGACAATGTCAACGATATGACCCAATGGGATACCACTCGTCCTACTGACAGTCTTTAGAGTTCTACGAAGTATGACATAGTCTTTTTTAAGCAATCCAGGAAAGTATAAGTAAGGGTGAACAGTAAAGAAGAATAGGTAAAATACACGAGTTGACAAACTGTAAGAGGAGTGGTTGGATTGTGCCTGAGTGCCTCAACTTCTTAATGTAAAAAGTCAGACGAAATATTCTTTTAGAAATCGCTAAGACATGGGAAGACCAGGATAGGTCAGAAGAAAGAATTAATCCAAGATACTTAACTTCAGACTTGGTTTCTATATCAGTATCATCAATTTTGCAAAGGTCATAGGAACCAGCAGCTTCATTTAACTTCCGTTTACATCGGAAACTGAAATTAGCAGTCTGACATTTGGAAGGATTTAGTTTAAGGCCGTTAGACGAAGACCATTTGCTAACTCCTGATAGAAAGCTGTTCATTTTAGTATAGTCTAGCTGGGAGTTAACTGACATGGAAATAGTTAGATCGTCGGCATACTTAACAAAGGTCATTTCGTCAGAGTGAGGCAGGTCATGTAAGAAGAAAGAAAAGAGAAAAGGAGAAAGGACAGCGCCTTGAGGGACACCAACCTCAGTAAGCAACGAAGTGGACGACTTCCTCTGACATACAGTGTACTGCTTTCTTTCTGAGAAATAAGAATGGAGCCATTTGACAACCCAATAGTTACCATCAGACCCACGCTCAACTTGTCGTTTTCCACTCGACTTCCATCAGCCCCAACGGGTTGATCTCCGACGAAATTTCAGCACGAATACAGAGGGCTAGGTTCGCATTCGCCAGTTTTCGCCGTCTCTGGCGTAGACGCGATATCCGACTATCGACCAAAGGGCGTGTGTACTGCTCAACAGTCCGCTTCGTCCTCCTTTATGGCTGTGAGACCTGGCCATTGAGAGCAGAAGACATGAAAAGATTAGCTGTGTTCGATCATAGGTGTCTGCGTTCTATCTCCCGCGTGAAGTGGTATGATAAGGTGAGCAATATTGAGGTTAGGCGTCGAGTGCTAGGTAAGGCGGGGAAATCAATCGACGAGACTGTGAAATTACATTGACTGAGATGGTTAGGACATGTGTTGCGTATGCCTAGTCATCGCCTTCCTCGACAATGGGCAATGTTAGCTGATATAGGTTCAGGCTGGAAAAGAGCTAGCGGCGGTCAAACCAAAACATGGCACCAATCAATGAAATCCACAACAGTTAGTCTAAGCCACGTAGGAAGATGTAGACTTCCTGGTTGGGTCCCTCGGGATGGTAAAAACCAATGGTTGGAAACAATTGGTGACATGGCTCAAAATCGTTCTCAATGGCGCAGATGCATCCACTCCTTGTGACTTATGATTTCCAATTAAACTTTTGTTCTCCGTTATTACTATTCCTTTGTCTCACACCACTGTTTACTGTCTATATTATGCATTTCTTCTACTTCCTTCTCTTGCTTTGCGTGCTACATAGATTGTGGCGACTTGAACTGCCTCACATATGTGCAAAGTTCTATGTCGAAAACCGACCGACCGACTCGACTTCCACTAGGGGTGGATGATGTCACTCATCGATCTCTCCATTGTATGTCTCATTCATCTCCATTTCCTTCTGTATATTTTGTTTGATAATAGGTTCTTGACTAGAGTTCATTTGCAGATTTCCTTGTTTCTAATCCTTTCTGGCTGGCCATGTAATCTTTAACATCGAACGGAATTAGCCTGTTGGAAGTGCTTTTGGTAATACGCACTTCACCTGCGTTGATCTCTTCCCTTGACAGGCACCTGGTTATCTGATATAATGTTCTCAAGGTCTCTTTTATCTGCGGCCTGCCTGCCTGTTCTGCTTCAGTTACCGCCAGCCAGTGTGTCGTAGAATTGTCTTTTCTAGTACTATGTTTCACAACTTTATTCAGTGCAGTGTACACTGAACTCAACTTCACCTTCTGTTGTCCATCTTTGTATTGAGTCATCTTCTCTTGCACCATCCTACTCTCCTCCCTTCTATTTAGCTTCCATGTAGGTGTCCGTTGAGGGCCATTCCTTGTTTCGCCTCTTCTTTCCTGTTAAAACAGTGATAAGTGTTTCCTTGAGCATCACCTTCAGAGAGAGTTCTAGTGTTCTCCCACGCAGGTTTCCTCAGTGATGTCACGTAATGTATCCAACTTTGCTCTGATCTGTAGTGAAGGTATCCCTTGTAGTTTTGTGCTTCATTTTCTGAATGTTGAACTTGAATTGTGGTCTGTTTCCAGTTGTTCTGAAGGATTTCAGCTTGGCCCTGAGGGCTCCTTGAACTTGTGATGATCTGAGCCCACATCTACTCCCCTTCTCGACTTTGTATCCAGCAGACAGACTGCGTCTCCACTTCCTTGAGCAGTATTGAGATGAAATCTATCTGGTTTGTGGTGTGTCTGTCAGGTGAATTCCATGTTGCATTGTGTATATCCTTGTGCGTGTACACGCTACCTCCAATCACCAAATCATCGAAGATGTAGAAGTCTGCGAAGAGTTCTCCGTTCTCATTCATTTCACCCAGAGTCTCTTGACCGACGATGAGTTATCTTCCTGTATTGTCTGCTCCCAGTCCGGTTGGCCTTAATATCGCCTATGAGGATTATGATGTCATCATTCGGGATGTTGTCCGTTGCTGTTTGTAGTTACCTGTAGAAATCCTTCTTCTCTTGTTGCGATTTGTTTGTAGCCCTGTGCGTAGCATTAGATAATTATGACCTTCCTTCCTTTTGAGCTGAATCTTGCTGTCATAATCCTACATAAGGCGATTGGTTCCCACTACATTAGGGATCTGGCTGCCATTGGTGGCATCATGATAGCCACACACTGTGCTCGTGGTTGTCGTCCGGATGACCAGACCAGAGTAGATTACTGACTCTCCAGTTGACGATTTTGATGGTCCATATTCATTCCACCTGATCTTGCAGATTCCCAGAACTTCTTTTCCATATCTTTGGCTACTTAAGCAGCCTTCTCAGCGTCGTATAATGTATGGACATTTCACGTCCCCATTCTTATTCCTGCTTTCATCGAGAGAAGACACATCGGCTGGCTGGCTGACTGGCTTCCCGAAGGCTTTCAACAATTCGCTGTGTCATTTCGCCTCTCCGATTCCAGCGGAGATTAAGTTTGTTTTTTGTATTTTTGTATTTGTAATATTTTTGTTGTGCGATAAAGTTTCTCTAGCGGTTTGATAGGTTTAGTGGTGTAGGGTTTCTAACCCCACGTCCAAGCCTCCCTCTTTACTTGAGCTTGGGAGCGGCTAGAAAACTAGCGAGTTAGTAAACTAGGTGAGGTTAAAATCAGGGAATACTGGACATCTTTTTCGTCCTAGTTTGGGATTCAACAGGAGTAGATATCCTCAGGTGTGTTTTTAATTTCTCGGTGGGATAGAGAGAAGGAAGCAAAAAAGAAAATACTGTAATGTTAGGCTTCTCTTATTCTTTTTGAATCTGTAGTATATGACCTAGCCGTTTTGCTAAGACATACCCCTTAGAAAAGTGACAGAATAGTATAAAGTTAGAGTTTGTTCGTTTAAAGTCTTAGTTTTACTTTACCACTAACTGTAAGATACTACAAGGAGTGTGTGGCTCGTTAACTGTGTCTGTCACCTAGACTATACTCAGTGGGTGGTACATTCAAAGTTCCACTAATCTACTTCTATCTAGTCGACTGAATAAGGTTATTAGTCGCTTACACGTTAAATTTGACTTACGGTGTTAATGCGTAATGATATACACTAGGTCTCTGAATTGTACTGATTTCCATCGACTGTTGTTTTTTAGGGTGGAGAAGAGACATCATCTGTCTGTCTGTCTGTCTGTTTTCGACATACAACTTTGCACCGATGTGCGGCAGTTCAAGTCGCCACACCATGTAGCACACAAAGCAAGAGAAGAAAGTAGGAGAAATTCATATTAGAGACAGTAAACAGAGGAATAGTATTAACCAAGAATAAAACAGTTTCATTGGAAATCATAAGTCACAAGGAGTGGATGCATCTGTGCCATTGAGAACGATTTTGAGCCATGTCACCAATTGTTTCCAACCATTGGTTTTTACCGTCTCGAGGACCCCAACCAGTCAGGAAGTCTACACCTTCCTACGTGGCTTAAACTAACTGTTGTGGGTTTCATTGACTGGTGTCATGTTTTCGTTTGACCGCTGCTAGCTCTTTTCCAACCTGACCCTATATCAGCTAACATTGCCCATTGTCGAGGAAGGCGATGACTAGGCATACGCAACACATGTCCTAACCATCTCAGTCAATGTAATTTCACAGTCTCGTCGATTGATTTCCCCGCCTTACCTAGCACTCGACGCCTAACCTCAATATTGCTCACCTTATCATACCACTTCACGCGGGAGATAGAACGCAGACACCTATGATCGGACACAGCTAATCTTTTCATGTCTTCTGCTCTCAATGGCCATGTCTCACAGCCATAAAGGAGGACGGAGCGGACTGCTGAAGAGTACACACTTCCGTTGGTCGATAGTCAGATATCACGTCTACGCCAGAGACGGTGTAAACTGGCATATGCGAAACTAGCCCTCTGTATCCGTGCTGAGATTTCGTCAGAGATCAACCCGTTGAGGCTGATGGTACTTCCCAAGTAAGTGAAGCGGTCGACATCCTGTACCACTTCACTTCCTATTTCTAATCTAGGGGTCGGTGTAGTCCAATCCTGTAACATCATCTTGCATTTGGCAGGAGCGAATCGCATGCCAAACATTCGTAGATTGCAGCTCAAGGTGTTCAGAAGACTCTGTATTTTGTCAGCTTTCAGTTGGGAGAGACATCATCAGTCAATTTATTATTATTATTCTCTTGGGTTCCTAGTGGAACATATGGCTTCAGCAGCGCGCATTTCCATTTCACTCTGTCCCCTACATTCCTTGTCATCTGGCTTCCCAATCGCCCATAGATCCTAACCTGTCAGTGAATTTTTGTTTTGGTGCATTGCTAATGTCTCATGAGCACAGTTTTTAGGCATCAGAACTTGTTGTTAGTTACTTGTCCATATAAAAAGCCATGACTGTTTGTCATTCGTCTTTTTCCATAGAAGAATATTTTTTGCCTTTTCAATTTATTCGATTGTTCAATTATATATTGTTGTGTGTTGAAGTGCTGTGTTTGAACCACCACTACAACACCAGCAGTCTTTCTAGTTTGAAGAAACCTGTACGAAGTACTATCCGGTCACTTTAATTGTATGCGGAATCTACCAGTGTTCATTTAGACAGACCGTAATAAAGTTGATTAATTTAGATGAGGTCGTTTATATGAACAAGTTAATATAACATTGAGCATAATTGAAGCTATAACATATAAAATGGTTGAAACATGTGCTACACATACCGAAGGTGCATCGATCATATCTTCACCCTTAGACATATTCTGAAACATAGGCATACATACCGACGTCCAACGATCGTTATATCTCTTGACCTAAAGGCGGCAATTCGATTCTGTCGTCTTAGAGGTACTATGGCGATGCTTGGCTGCAAAGAGAATGCCGAGAAAATACATTGCACTGATCAAGGCACTCACTCTACTCGATCTCATGCGGCCAGCCAGGTGAGAGCTTACGGCGAGTTGTCATCTGAACTGTTGGCAACTAGTGGTGTCCATCAGGGATTCCCACCATCCCCATTTCTATTCAATTTCATCATAGATGTAATAATGAAATTTACCCAAACTGCTGACTTCAGGGACTGAGAGATTGATTTGTGACCACCGCGGAATAATCTCGTTGACTTAGAATATGCAGATGATATAGTCCTCCCTCCTAGGTGAAGACGCTGACAAAACTGAGCAGAGTCTTCTGAACACCTTGAGCTGAAATTTACGAATGCTTGGCATGCGATTCGCTCCTGCTGTCAAATGTAAAAGGATGCTACAGGACTGGACTACACTGACTCATTCTTAGCTTAGATATAGGGAGCGAAGTGGTTGGTGGAGAGTGTTGACCAATTCACTTATTTGGGAAGTCGCATCAGGTTGGAAAGGAGCCAGTGGTGGTCAAACCAAAACATGACCTCATCAGTCAATGAAATCCAAAACAGTTAGTTTAAGCCAGTCACGTAGGAAGGTGTAGACTTCCTGGTTGGGGTCCTCGGGACGGCAGAAACCAATGATATGGCTCAAAGTGATCCTTCTCAATGGCTGGCTGGCGCAGATGCATTCATTTCTTATAACTTATGATACCCAAAAAAACTATATTTTTCTTCGATATTAATTTTCTTTTTGCCTCATATCTCTGTTTACTGCCTTTGTTTTGCAAGTCTTTTTACTTTATTCTCTTTCTTTGTGTGCTACATGGAGGGAGAGTGGCGACTCAAACTGTTGCACATCGGTACAAAGTTCTATGTTGAAACCAGTCGGTCAGTTAGTCAGTACCGAGTCACCGCTTTCCTCTACCAGCTGTTTTAGCGGACATAAGATCGATTTGGAAAATTGTCAAACTAAAATCTGACATCATTCCATGAAGTATATCACAGTTGAATATTGAGTTACATATATAAGTGATAGGATCCCACACACTTTGTTATTGTTCAATTATTTTTAACGACTGTTAATCTCGCATAAGTGGTATATCATCATTCCCACGCATTTTGTTATTGACTATTACGACCAATTATTTCAAATACTGTTAGCTGTCTGTATTGGTTGTAAAAATGTATAAATACCATTTCCTAAATAAGTTTCTTTGTCGTCGTAGTTTGTCGTAGTTGTTGTACTACAATACACAGTCATAGACCAGCTTTTGTCTTTTGATATTTGCGTGGTTCGCTGAATCGGAAGGTACCAGAAGCAGATAGGCATATTAGTCAGGCGCAGACAGAACAAGGCGACAACGTCCTCATTTATTTCCCCTACAGTTACAACAATAAGAAGGTGTGAACTGGTTCTGTGGTCCTTGAAATGTTAAGAACAACTGACTGGAGATTATTGGCTCAAAGTCTTTTTCATTGGTACTGATGTATCCACTCTTTGTAATCTCCCCATGTCTATTTAAACGTTCATCTTTTGTCTGTCATGTTACCTATTCCCCCCCCCCCCCCTCACATTGCTGCTCATTATACCTCGATTTAAATCTCTTCTATCTTTGTGAAGTGTATAGTAAGTTGAATTGATGCTATGTTGAAGTTTAATGACTCAGTTAGTCAGTCACTGAGTCTACGTATCCATATTTCCCTTGTACTTACTAGTATGTTGTAGGGGTTTTTCACTCCCGTATTATTGTGTGTATTCTTTTCAATTTACAGAAAGTTTAACCGGTGAAAAATTATTGGTGCTAGTCAATGTCTTCGGGACAATTAAATTTGAAAAACATCCTACACGAATGTTCTCGGAAACATTTTTCTTAACACAAGAAACTAATCTGTGGCGTGTACAGTCGGTAACATTTCGATTCATTGACTGAATGAACTTTTTTTAAAAAAAAGAAATTTTTGTTTTTTATTCTATTTTGTAAATAATAATAATCAGAAGAAAAAACTTACCTCAATATTGCTTTAATGATATTATACATATGTATATGCATATATCACTTAGGTACGGATGATAACCAATGTATTTTTGTATACTACTCACCCATCAATTGCTCTCTTCCTCTCTTTATATATATGTATGTATAATCAGTTTTGTAATGTGCACCAATTGATGATGTTTGACGCTTGATATAATAATACTAATAAAATCTTTTGACTATTCTCCACATTTTTCATCTTCTATAAGCTTACAAGTTAGTGCTTACAAGAAACAAATGATTATCTGAACAGAACTGTAGGAGACGGTCACCGTTGTCGGTTCGCTGGCACGGAATTCCGTATGTGCCACCGACATTCTTCTCAGATTGACACAATTTCCCTATTTGAGCATTAAAGTCACCAGCTAAAACGACAATATCTGAGCGTTTAGCCTTTCGCAGCAAACTAGAGAGCTTTTGGTAGAATTCATCCTTCGTTTCATCCGAACTGCAGTCAGTGGGGGCGTAGGCGGAGATTACGAAAAGGCATCGGCGGGTAGTGCAGTCCTTTCTCCTTTTCACTGATCCGTTCAGACGGACAGCACACATTCGGCTATCTACCGGGATCCAGTCAAGTAATGTCTTTTCTGCCCTAGTACTCAAAGCTATCCCAACACCAGCTAATCCTCGAGAGCTAGCCGTCGCATCTCCTGACACCCTCAAGGTGAATTTTGCAGATTCATCCTGTTGGCCAGGTGGGGTTAGGTGAATAACCACACTTGGGTCTTGTATGCGTGTTTCTGAAACACAACATACATCAATGGCTCGGGATGCCAGAGTCTTGGCTAGTGATGCCTGTTGTCCTATTTGGCAAAGTGTCCTAACGTTAAATGCCCCTATATGAAATTGGTGGCGTGGCTTTAGGAGACTATCGAAGGTGGCTTTTTGGCTTCCATCGTTATCAGTGCACACAGATTGAAGAGGAAGTGAAGAGCCATTAAGTAGAGGAGTTGCATTAGTAGAAGGAAGGCAAGATAATAGAGATGAAGATGGATACAAAGATGAGTGAGGATTAGAGAGGTTTTGCGTGCATTTTGGAGTGTGAGGGCGATTGTTACTTCCCGGCTGCCCACACCGTGGAAGTTGGTTGCGTGACCGCAGAGCCCAAGGGACAACTGCTTGAGGCCGGTCACACACGGCCTGTTTTTGTTTGTTCTTTTTTATTTGGTGTCTCAGTAGCGTATTTATCACTTCTGCCCTGTGACACGGCAGCAGGAAGCGCGGTCGTTGTTAATCCGGGCCCCAACCGATCCGGCATGATATTTTGTGTTTTTGTTTGAGTCATGGCATTGGATTGGGTAGCTGCTTTTTGTCTAACCGCTATCCAAACAACCTTTCTGGCATGGTAGGACCTACAGGAACTTAAGTTCCAGCCAGTATAGCTCGTTGGGTCATTGCAGTGTTCAAGCCCGACCACCACGTCAAGGTAGCAGCTTTCGGTCGGGTCTTCTATAAGCATATCTTAGTGAGTTTTAAATTGTAATAAAAATATAAAACAATGATTACATATATTCAAGTGTTGGGTTTGCAAGGATCTGATTTGATTTGATTGGTTACAGGATGATTGCATCATGAGCTGACATCGGTTAGAGAATCATTAGAAACACCTACCCAGAGAGAGTACTGGACAGCCAGCTGTTTCGTCAGCCTAGCTTGGGACTCTTCGGCAGTGTATGCACACACCAGCTAGCTAGGGTTCGAATCCACGACCTTCTGGTTGTGGTGAGAGCTGACTCCTAGCCAAAGTGGGTAGACAGTAATTGACGTCAATGTTTATGTCCCCAAAATTGCTGGTGAGAAAATGAGAACAAAGGCTTTGCGTAGGCGGGTACAGTTAGCATATGGATGATCTGACACAGCCACAAAGAGATGCAAGATGGTTAACTTTCTGTGAGAAACAACCAATCAATGACTGTATTTTCTACTAACAATAATGTACATTGAAATCTATAAATATGTGTTGATTTTCCTTAATAAACGATCTGTTGCCTGGCCCTTGTCTTCTGTTGTTACATGGTTACAAGGCTAGCGAGGTCTTAGACCAATAAGCCACTGGAACCAGCCGATTCAATTGCCAACTTATGAATTCCAACTTCCGCCAGTTAACGATGTAGCGTGACCACTAGGCGCAATGTCATCAGCGAGTATGTCTTCACACCTGGGTGTGAGATTGTGAAGGTAAAACTAGAAGAAATAAACTTGTAATTGTAATCCTGTGTAAATTGAGTGTTTGTGTTAATTCTGTAGAATCGTGTTCTTCCTTACGGGATGTGATTTCGTTAAAGCGTTGTGTTATGGGTTATATTTTAAGGTCTGTCTTACTATTATGTATCGGGAAATACATAGTATAGTGTCAACTTGTAAATTCTTTTTCCCCTTTCTTTAGGCTCCGAGTGGAACTTAGGGCTTCAAGCTTTGAAGATTCAGTGGTTGAATTGTCAATGAGTTGGTCTTGTAACTTGAATTAACGCGCCGGGTTCTATCTTCGGTGGGATTATGTGGGTGTGTAATATCGGTGATCAGTCTCAAAGTAGGACGAAACAGTTGTTTATCACTCTCTATAGACCGATAGCTTCTACCTTGACGTGCTGGTGGTAGGCCTTGCATATCGAAATAACCCAACAAGCTATACTGGCTGGAACAAATGTTCCTGCAGCTCCTATCATACCAGAGAGGTCCTTTGAATAGCGGTTAGGTTAAATAAAAGCAGTTACTGTTATAGTACAAGTTGGGGAGTTCGTGGGCAAAGTTGTACTGCTGGCGAATAGGGGTGTAACAGCCGTGAGTTGTTTCCCTACTCAGATGGCTAGCATGCCGGCTGTGCTACCTCTGCGCACTGGGGAAGGTGGGCTTAGAACAGGTCAACCCCGAGCATCGTACATCTCGCCTTATCTTGCCGGCGGTAAGACCTTCATACGCACATAACTCCAAAGACCAGTTCAGACGGCAGGCCGAATGTGACTGGCTTCAAGCAGCTGTCCCCTGGGATCTGCGGTCATACGACACTAATGCTGTCTATTTCTCAGGTACTCCAAGAAAAAACCCAGCCAATCATTTGGTGTTCTCCCAGCTTCTAAACTGTGTGATATAAAAGGTACCGATAGTGATAATAGTAATTGAATTCACTTGGCAATGATTTTTGATCTAGTGTGAGCCGCCTATACTACTATCCGGATGTTCACACCTCAATGTAGATCGAATTGGATTGAAGAGAAGTGTTATTTAGTCCAATTAGGTTGAACTCCACTTGTTTTATTGGGTGATCTGAGAGAAAACTAATGTCGAAAAAACTTCACATCGAAAGAATATAAATATCAGGTAAAGCTTAATTGGTGCGTCGGTGGCACAGTGGTTAGAACGCTCACCGACCATGCACATGGTCCGGGGTTCGATCCCCCCACCGACGCACTCCTTTACCTCGCCCAACCAGTAATAGAAAGCCGGTAAAGAGGAAAGGTTGGGCATGAGGCTAGCAACCTCATCCAGTGAAAGTAAACACTGTTACAGAAACTTCAGGCCTCTAGCTTGAAGTCCTATGTTCCACTGGGAACGTGAAGGAAAAAAAGCTTAATTGGGTGCCAAATTCAAATATATGCGTGGTTCACTTATTCATTTGTTGATTCTCCTTTACTTTCTGAGTGTGATATAGAGCTTCAAGTTTTAAGCTTTGAAGTTTTGCTAGCGGCGATGTTGTTTTTACGCCTCAACCGCCCTCTCCTCCCTCCCCCCAGTGAACCTTCCCCTTTTCGTCGGCTTACCAATCGTCGCTAGTAGACTGGGCAAGGTTTGGGAGTCGAATCCAGACGACGTGCGTGACTAGTAAGCAATCTATCCCTGAACTAGTGATGTACTTTACGTTTTAAGCTTTAGGAAAGTTGAATTCAAAGATTAGTAGTTATCTGTATAAGTAATCAGTTTTTGATTAAAGTTGCTTAGTATTTTCATCTAACGGTATTTTGGAAATAAATATACAAACCAATAGAGGTTACGAGTGTACTGGGACAATTCCATGTTAAATCTGTGTGTTGGATACACCCTACACTGTGAAACACTATTGTTTCCCAGATGACAAAGAGTTTTGAACTCAGTTTATTACTGTTCATAAAAATATCACCAATTGTAATCAATCGCATTAACTTCGAAACTTGATGATCATGGCTTTTTTCGTCATTTTCATTTGTCGTTGTGGGTAATAGAATTTTCCAGTTGTTCGGGTGAACTGGTGTTGAATCATTCTTGTTAAAATATGTCCTCAATTGATTCGATAATTGAAGCTTCCGTTATAAGTCTCTTCCTTCACCCTGTTAGATTAAATTGTAAGGCTGTCATCTTATCTCATCGTATTTTATGATTGTGTAACGGCATGTAGTACTATAGCTGAGCTATTCTCTACATTTTTAATCTTATTCTGGTCAGTTAATCTAGATTTTGATAGATTTTTCTGTACTGCTAATCGCATTGACCGCATTCCACTACTGTGGCCTGTGTATTTGACCTCATAATCAACGTAGGGTATTCGACTAACTGATTGACTGGTTTCAACATAGAACTTTGCACCGATGTGCAGCAGTTCTAGTTGCTACACTCCCTTCATGTAGCACTCAAAGCAAGAGGAGAAAGTAAAAACAAATGCAAAATAGAGACAGTAAACAGAGATATGAGGCAAAAAGTATAGTAATATGGAAGAACCATATAGCTTTATTGGATATTATAAGTCACAAGGAGTGGATGCATCTGCGCCATTGCGAAGAATTTTGAGCCATATCAAAGTCCCGAGGACCTCAACCAGGACAGTCTACATCTTCATACGTGACTTAGACTAACTGTTGTGGATTTCAGTGACTGATGCCATGTTTTATTTTGACCATCACTGGCTCTTTTCCAACCTGACCATATATCAGCTAACATTGCCTGTTGTTGAGGGAGGCGATAGCTAGGCAGGTATGCGTAACACATGTCCTAAACATCTCAGTCGATGTAACTTCACAAACTTATGTATTGATTTCCCCTCCTTACCTAGCACTCGACCAAAGCCTAACCTCAATATTACTCACCCTATTATGCCACTTCACAATGTAGATAGAACACAGGCACCTATGATCAAAGTCAGCTAGTCTTTTCATGTCCTCCACTCTCAATGACTAGGTCTCACTCGCAGCCA